GAACTAAAATTTTATGGGTGAAATGGCGCCATGGGGTGACTTCTCTTCCACCCCAATGCCTTCTCTTCTCCCTTCTCCTCCACCCCCATTCTAATTCCCATCATCATCATCATCATCCAGGAGCCTTCTACATACACACCTCAAAGAAAGTGTACTTTTCTACCCTTTTTGTTGAATTTAGGCAATTTTCGGTGAGCTGGAACCAATTACCCAAAAACCCATTGAAACAATGGTTTCGGTTTACGAACTTTTCGGTTAACGAACAACCTGCTGGAACGGATTGAGTTCGTTAACCGAGGGACCACTGTATAAGTAAAAACAGAGTATACTTCAGAAAGGTAAGGACATTGAAATTTAGAAAATATAATATTATATTGTAGTGGATTCCTCCCCGACAAACACCGAACCTTCTCGAATTCCCCAGCCTACGCCTCCAGCGCCGCCCATGGAGCGGGGGTCATATATCAACCCACTCCTACCCCCGCCTTATAAGACCTGACACCGCTGTGACCAGTCTCTTTCTACTCACTGCCACCAGCAAGCATTACCTCCTCCTCCGCGCCTGCCTGGCGGCTTCCGCTCCCACCAAAAACCTTGGCGTCCCTCAAGCCACGTGCCCTCACTCTGGGCACCCTCACCAACCAGCTCTCTCTACTCAATGCTTATTACCATGCTGCCTGGCTGGGTGTTCGTGTCACTCCGGGGTCACCATTTGTGGGGTACGGGTTGTTTGTTCTCTCTCAGGATGGGATGGAGAAAGGAAACTCACAATGTGCTCTCTGTATACATGTTGTATTGGATGTACAATGCAGCTTGGTGCTGGGAAGGCAGCATGGTTACAAGCGTGATGTAGAGAGAGCTGGTTGGTGAGGGTGCTCAGAGGAGGATAGCTTGTGGGTCGCCATGCTCGCCGGAGGGAGCGAGGGCCGCCAGGCAGCGGCGGAGGAGGTGATAGTGAAAGTGAGCCTGACCCAACAAATGATAGTGAGAGTGAGCCTGACCCAACGAATGATAGTGAAAGTGAACCTGACCCAACGAATGAGTGAAAGTGAACCTGACCCAACGAATGATAGTGAAAGTGAGCCTGACCCAATGAATGATAGTGAAAGTGAACCTGACCCAACGAATGATAGTGAAAGTGAACCTGACCCAACGAATGATAGTGAAAGTGAGCCTGACCCAACGAATGATAGTGAAAGTGAACCTGACCCAACGAATGATAGTGAAAGTGAACCTGACCCAACGAATGATAGTGAAAGTGAGCCTGACCCAACGAATGATAGTAAAAGTGAACCTGACCCAACGAATGATAGTGAAAGTGAGCCTGACCCAACGAATGATAGTATAATGACGGGTTTTAAAGTAGAAAGTATGAAGAGAATATTTAGTAAGAGAGTGAAAGAGAGGAAGACTTTGGTAGCGTGGCCGTGATAGTTATTTAATCTGGACTTACACTTATCTTATCTTATGCGTCCACACACATCTATTACGTCTTAAGGGCGACTTCTCAAACACCGCTTCGTTACAACTGTTTATTAATACGACAATGACATGGACACATTAATAACACCTTCTATTGAAGTTACTAGGACATTATATTTACGTTACTAGGACATCATATTACGTTACTAGACACTCTGATTCTCGGACATGAACATGAAATGAATACAATTCCCACGTAAGTAACTCATCCCGTGGAAAGCTCTGACAAAAACTCACGTGACCTGGGGGAGGCCTAGCAGGTGGTCCTGGGTTGTCTCTATGGGTAGACTGCTTAGCTGGGCACCGGAGGGAAGTCGGGGAGGGAAGTCTTGCGTGACTCTCCTCCCGCGAGCGGGACTGGGCTGTGGTGGACCTCATCCTCCGATCCGTGTGTCTCTCACTCTCTCTCCCGTGAGGGTCAGGTCTGGACTTCTTCTGAGACTATAAGCTGTTGTACATTCTGGAGAAATCTTCAGATGAATGCTTGTCTGTTAACATCGTTGGTGGGGCCGTGTGACATGAGAGGCTCTGGTTGATTTGTGGCCCCTTGACTTGGGCTCAAGGGCTACACTTGACCTGGCTAATGTGAGGTCAGGTCTGGACTTCTTCTGCGATGTAGGTTATTGTGTATATTGGGAGAGTCAGGCAGGTGCCTTCTTACATGTTTGTTGGGGCCGTGTGACATGTGGAGGGGAGCCTGGTTGATTTATAACCCTTTGGCAGCTGCAAGGGTTACCCTACACTTGACCCCCCTAATGTCGGGTCAAGTCTGGACTGTTTCTGAGATGTAAGCTGTGGTCTGACAACCCATCACTACAATAGTGAAAGTGAACCTGACCCAACGAATGAGTGAAAGTGAGCCTGGCCCAACGAATGAGTGAAATTGAGCCTGACCCAACAAATGATAGTGATAGTGAGCCTGACCCAACGAATGATAGTGAAAGTGAACCTGACCCAACGAATGATAGTGAAAGTGAGCCTGACCCAACGAATGATAGTGATAGTGAGCCTGACCCAACGAATAATAGTGAAAGTGAGCCCATAACTCAGTCTTATAATGAAACTGAACTGTTGCCGGCACCAATAATCGATGATTTAGTTGATGAAGAATCTATGTGACGGTTTTTAAAGAATGCAGAAAGACTTTGATCAATACCTGACCTATGACGAGGCCGCTATAGTTATACGCACGCCTCAGGATTTACGTAACTTCAAGTTACTATGATCGTCGGATATAATAAAACGAAGGAACTAAACAAAGTAAGATTGTAATACTATTGTCATAATACTGTTTTTTACCAAAGATTATGCAAACTTTCTCCGCCTTTGTATTCGTATGTAAATTACGTCGGGGGTTAATGGTGGGAGGATGAGTGTAGTGGTGTTTCCTTATTATTATTATACTTAACAATATTATAAATCTTTGGCTAATAATAGGACGGAAACATAAATACTGACAGGCAAAGTTATTAGTTATTATTTTTTTTGGGGGGGGGGGGTAAGACGAGTGTTGTTTTTGGTGATCATTAACTTGTTTTACAGTATTAGCCCACAATAATAACATAATTTTGCAGAAAAACACGATAATTGTTGGTTTGAAGCTCCAACTACTGTACATCACGGGTAGTTATTCCCATTCAACTGGCGATATAATAATTATTAACGGTACTAACTTCCAGTTATCACAGTTCACTAGGAGAAGGATTGAGCTGCATGATAAAAAAATAAACAACCAAGCTGAAAAAACTATAAAATTATAGTTGTTTGAACGTCAAAAAACTTTAAATGTTTTTCTCAGCTTTTTGAATTTGGCGCTTCACCCCTTCTGATGCGGAGCGCCTCAACTGATCAGCGAATAAACCTGGGCATATGAAGATGTATTATACACTACAATAATATTTATTAAATTGTGATAAATATGCTACAATAATATTTACTAAGTGCTCAAGACAGATCCTGTAGTAAGCACCAACCCTCTTGAGTAGTGACAACAACAGTGCCTCAGTGAGTGCTGGCAACAGTGTTAGGTAGAGCAGTGTACCTCTCTGTAAACAAGAGGCTGGGACTATACTGCAGCACAGTAGCTCATCTGGGGTTGAGAGGTGGCGAGCTGTCCTCCTCCTCTGCCACCTTCTCCCTCTCTACTTCTATGCATCCAAGAGTAGTTTTATACAGGATCTTAATACAATTCATAAACTATTCCTATAATTCATTCATCTTGATCTATTTCATAATATATTCTTATAATAATTGTTATCGCCGCTGGCTTCAGCTACAGTGCTGGCGTGTGATGCCATTAAGTCTTTCGACCTGTGACCTCGCCAGATGTAGAAGTGTTTACAGACTACTGGTTCTGCTGAGTGGACCGTCTTAAGCCCCATCCACACGATCGAGCACTGCCCGACGGGCACTCGCTAAATGCCCGTTGTTCGGGCAAAATTGACGGGCAAACTACCAGAGTGCCCGTGCCCGTGGTCGAACGAAATCACCAGATAAGGCCGTCTGCCTGGTGGTTTGACCGTTTCCTGCGAAAAGTCTATAGAAGGTGTTGGGGTCCATTCTCATGTAGTTAGTGAAGTCTTTCTCATGTTTACCTTGCAGTTCACGTAAAATCGTGACACGACTTCCCTTAACTTTTCGTTGAGATAACCATTCCTTGCACCATTCCCTTTTCTCTTTTTTCTTCTTTTTGCACACTGTAGCAATTATTATACACAGCGCTATAGTCTTTGATTTAACTGTCCTGCGACACACCATGGTGATCGTACCGCAGCAGCTACTGGCGACCACCTACTAGCTACCAGTGGCAGAGTGTGACTGCTGCCAACCAGCACCTCAGTGTGTACGACGACACACAGGCTTTGCCCGGTAAACGGGCAAAGTCCGCCGGGCACTGTTCGATCGTGTGGACAGGGCTTTAGACTGGTGGCGGTAGCTGCCCGCCCCTCCATGAGACAGATCGCCCTCTCTAGTGATGCTGTGAAGACCAGCCTTCTCCTGTCCGAGAATTTGTGCTGGGACGATTTACGCAATACTGTTTTCTCTTGGAACACCATACTGATCTGCATTGACCCGCACTTGTAAGTACAGCCTAAGTGATGACATACCCCTCGGTACTGAAATATTGTTGACTATTTACGCCTGCTCGTTTCTGCCTAACCTGGAGTAATAAGACAATGCAGAATGAAGCGAAGCTAAGATGAATAGAGTTATGAACTTTGTGTTATGTCAGTATGTTCAATAAATTGTAATTAAGATAAAATTGTGTGAGACTAACTAATTATGTATCAGATGTACCACCTTGTAATATTATGAACGCCTTCTCTGCAGGTTTTGACATCAATAAATATTGAATGCGTCAAAAGACGGGTTTCAATCATTCCCTTCGACTTGCCGGTAACCTGAACGTCCTTAACTAAGGCGTTTACAATAACAATAGACTTTTGAACCTGTAGGTTATTTCAAATTCATTTTCAATTCAAATCGTTTAATTAATTAACAAATAAAAATAAACATATGAATTTGGCCAAAATTTGAATTATAATGACCCCAATTAATGAGGATACAGTGTACTTTATTAATAAATGTACAGCCAGTCAAAAAACAATCTTTACTGGGGAGGGGAAGGGACGGAGAGGACGGGAAGGGCACGGGAAGGGATGGGAAGGGAGAGGAAGGGAAGGGAGGGGATGGGAAGGGATGGGATGGGATGGGAGAGGAAGAGAGGGGAGGGGACGAGATGAATTTCAGAATGAATACTGCGACTCAGTTGTCTCAGTAGCATCATAATATTTTCATCCGTTACGTCACATTTTCTCTCACAATTTTGTAAAGATTGATTTTAGAGCGACCAAGGTTGAGTCTACCATGACTATCAATAACAATAACAGTTTCAGAATTCTTCCTTAACAAATTCTAGTTCTTCCAGGCACTCCATCTTTAAAGAAGATTGGTCAATTATCTCAGGCCCTGGTGAAGCTTCTGTCTCACAAATGACTGAGAGTGGATCATAATTAGTTTCCTTTTTCACTCCTTCAGAAACACACATCTCCACTGTTGGTTGGCAAGACAAGCTCAAGTCATGGTGCAAATCCTGGCAACTTTCACCTTCATAATGATGAGAGTTGACCACCTGGTCAGTCTGGTAACATCTCTCTACATGTAATATTAAACTCTCTTTCTCTATAAAGTCTTTCATGCATCTTACACAGTGGAAAGGTTTTTCTGAGTGAACTTTCTTATGTCTTACTAGGTTAGAACTTTTAGAAAAGCCTTGATGACATTCTAAACACTGATAAGGTTTCTCTCCTGTATGAGTTTTCTTATGATTTATGAGAGAAGATTTATCTGAGAACCTTTTAATACACTGTGAACACTGATAAGGTTTCTCTCCTGTATGAACTCTCTTATGATACACAAAAGAACTTTTATGTGAAAACCTTTTAAAACATTTTGCACACTGATAAGGTTTCTCTCCTGTATGAATTCTCTCATGAATTATGAGAGAATTTTTATGTGAGAACCTTTTAGGACATTGTGAACACTGATAAGGTTTCTCTCCTGCATGAACTCTCTTATGATATACGAGAGAATTTTTATGTGTGAACCTTTTAGGACATTGTGAACACTGATAAGGTTTCTCGCCTGTATGAAGTCTCGTATGTTCATCTAAATTACCTTGTCTTCTAAATCTTTTCACACATTGTGAACACTGATAAGGTTTCTCTCCTGTATGAGCTCTCATATGTCTCACTAACTCACTTTGTCTTTTAAATTCTTTAAAACATTCTGAACACTTCTTAGATTTCTGTTCTGTATGAACTCTCAGATGATTTATGAGAGAAGATTTAAATGAGCACCTTTTAAAACATTCTGAACACTCAAATGGCTTCTCTCCTGTATGACTTCTCATATGTGCTTCTAAGTGACTTCCTTGTGAAAAGCCTTTAAAACATTCTAAGCATTGAAATGGCTTTTCTACTGTATGAACTTTCACATGTCTCACTAAATCATGTTGTCTTTTAAAACCTTTAAAACATTCTGAACACTCAAATGGCTTCTCTCCTGTATGATCTTTCACATGTGTTACTTGATGTGATTTTACAGACAATTCTCTGGGAGACTCTGACTGTTCCTCTGAGTGACCTTCCATTATAAAACTGTGTGTATTGTGTGTTCAAAGGTTTTAGTGACACTTAACTGGCAAACTGTTTCCTCCTACAAGAGCTATTAATGTCTTGTTACTGTTAATTATATTTGACAATGAAAACTGAAACATAAATCAATTAGTGAATGTGATTTACTGACACTGATGTAATGATGCTGAGATGGGAGGACAGTGAGGAGGTAAGTGTGATGGAAGATCCAGTTTGTGATGTGACTACACCATTATTAACAAGGTTCCTCTATACCTCTTTGAACTAAATGTGAAAAATGGTGTAAAGAATGAGTTACACATATAACTGTACTTGCCATTAACAAACACTGTTTATGACACAACATACACTATAAAAACACTCAACAGGGAAGTGTACAAAAATTATATACTGTACACTATTGTTATATGTACAGTTCCTCTGATGTACAGTAAACAATAATACTCAGGCTGATATACTACTGTACTTGTGATGGCTGGTAAACAATAATACTCAGGCTGATATACTACTGTACTTGTGATGGCTGGTAAACAATAATACTCAGGCTGATATACTACTGTACTTGTGATGGCTGGTAAACTTTTACTACATGTGACAAAAGTCTTATGAGGGGGTGAATCTATACACAAGTTTTGAATTATTTCAAAACATATTTCCACAAGGAAGAATAATTTCTTGTCTACTTGTAATTCTTTGGTTCAGTTGGTAATACTTTGTCTATGTCCACTGTTGTTTACACCTGCACCCAACATAGTGTTCTCACAGTCTACTGCTTCTCTTCCCACTGCCATTTGTTCTTCAGTTCATATCTGTGGGAAGGAAAGTCAAACATATTAGTGAAATAATACTTCAGACTTCCTTTATATAACTAGAGACACATTCCCACATAAAAATGTCCCCCAAAACATATTGTACTGTGCTAAAATAACACTTGGTTAATATTATTCAACTACAGCTGCATCTCAATTTATGCTGTAGATGCATTCTTGTAAATGGCCGTGTAACACACACAGCTCAACCTTAATTCTCCCATATGAAAGTGAGCCTGACCCAACGAATGACAGTGAAAGTGAGCCTGACCCAACGAATGATAGTGAAAGTGAGCCTGACCCAACGAATGACAGTGAAAGCGAGCCTGACCCAACGAATGATAGTGAAAGTGAGCCTGACCCAACGAATGACAGTGAAAGTGAGGCTGACCCAACGAATGATAGTGAAAGTGAGCCTGACCCAACGAATGATAATGAAAGTGAGCCTGACCCAAAGAATGATTGTGAAGGTGAGCCTGACCCAACGAATGATTGCGATAGTGAGCCCATAACTCAGTCTTATAATGAAACTGAACTGTTGCCGGCACCAATAACACTGCCCTGCATAGTTTTTGAGGTTTGTGTATTATTAAGCTTTTCTGGGTGTATTTTGCATGCTGATCTCAAAAATGTTATCCATTTTGCTCAATCAGGTCACAATTTTGTGCTATAGCATTTTAAGCGGAGATTCAGGTAAAATATTGGCATTTTTCGCTCAAAATGGGGTCCTCATATTCGTTCATTAAAAAAATCATCCGAGACATTGGCAAGCCTCACAGAAAAGATTTCGGTCAGTTTTAATGCCCTTACGATGCATTTAAATACACCCACGTGCTCGCCGGCCATTTAAATGTCCGCCGTGACGCAAAGGAAAAGAGTATATATCCGTGTTTTTTTACATATATTTTTTCACAATTAAATTTCTTTTTCATCTGGTGGTACATGGCATGTACTAGCAACCACCCCGATGTGCCTCTAAAGTCTAGACCCTCAGTCAGTGTCTCTCGAGACTTCAAGAAAGTGGGAGTGTGTGCCCACAGCTTCTGCAAAAGAGCCCATACCCTTCAGTCAAGCTGAGTTGAATGATTTAACAAGAGACTTGTGCTTGTCTAAGGAGTCAGCTCAACTACTAGGATCACGGCTTTGCGAACACAATGTCTTAGCACCAGGAACAACATTTGCCTGGTACAGTAACCGTGACAAGGAATTTCGCAAGTTCTTCAGTTTTGACAAGGAAACTTCATTGGTGTATTGCAACAATATCAGTGGACTCATTGCAGCTATGGGAATATCATACAATATATCAGAGTGGCGGCTCTTCATTGACTCATCAAAAAGAAGCTTGAAAGCTGTGTTGTTGTTCAATGGAAACCAGGTCGCGTCTGTTCCGGTGGGGCATTCAGTGCAGATGGATGAGAACTACAACAACATGGAGTATCTGTTAACTGCTCTGAAGTATAATGACCACAATTGGAAGATCTGTGGAGACTTGAAGGTAATTTAATACACCAAAAACAATTGCTTTCAAAAATTTATATTTTGTTGACAGTTTTTCTAATAGGTAATTATGTCTGCCGACATACTGTCATATTATGAAGTGTTAATATTTTTTAATAATAAAACTATTCAGCTAAACATATTTCTAATCTGTTTTTTCCACAGGTTGTGTCCATGGTGCTGGGCCTACAAGGTGGTTACACCAAGTTTCCATGTTTCCTCTGTCCGTGGGATAGTTGAGCAGACAAGCAGCACTACATGCAACGTGACTGGCCTGCAAGAAGTGGACTTACTCCAGGTTCTCACAATGTTGTTGCCCATGCTCTGGTGAATCCACAGAACATTCTTCTTCCGCCACTGCACATCAAGCTCGGTCTGTTCAAAAACTTTGTAAAGGCACTGGACAAAAAAAGCCAGGCTTTCAATTTTCTGAAAGAAAAATTTCCAAAAGTCAGTGAGGCAAAGCTGAATGCAGGAATTTTTGATGGCCCTCAGATCAGAGAGCTTTTCAAAGATCCCAAGTTTGATTACAGCATGGATGTAAATGAGAAGAAAGCCTGGCATGCCCTTAAGTCTATTGTCTCCAATTTTCTTGGCAACTACAGAAGTCCAGAGTATGAACGAGTTGTTGAGGACCTACTTCTGAGCTACAAAGTTCTTGGTGCACGCATGTCCATCAAGATGCACTTCCTCAGCTCCCACTTGGACTACTTTCCAGAGAACTGTGGTGATGTGAGTGAGGCACAAGGAGAACGCTTCCATCAAGATATCCGTGTAATGGAGGAGCGGTACCAGGGTCGCTGGGATATCAACATGCTCGCCGACTACTGTTGGTGTCTGAAACGGGACGCCTCAGACACCAACCACCAAAGAAATTCTCTGCGACAGCCATTTATGCATGTCTAACTGTAAAGGCATCTATGTAGTTGACATATTTTGGTCCTATGTGTTGTGGTTACATTTCTTATGATATATTTTGCATAAAAGTTTTGACATCATATTTAAGAATTTCGATTTTTTCCTAATTCCAATAGCATAAAAATCTGACCTAATTGGGCAAAATGAATGGCATTTTTGGAATCAGCACGCAAAATACATAAAGAATCAGCTAAGAACCCCGCACCTCATGAATTTTTTTTTCAAATGCAGCTCAGTGTAATCAATGATATAGTTCATGAAGAAGCTATGTGACGGTTTTTAAAGAATGCAGAAAAACTTTGATCAATACCTGACCCAATATGATGAGGTCGTTAAAGTTATACGCACTCCTCAGGATTTACGTAACTTCAAGTTACTATGATCTTCAGGTATAATAACACGAAGGAACTAAACAAAGAAAGATTGTAATACTATTGTCATAATACTGTTTTTTACCAAAGATTATGCAAACTTTCTCCGCCTTTGTATTCGTATGTCAATTACGTCGGGGGGGGGGGGTTAATGGTGGAGGGATGAGTGTAGTGGTGTTTCCTTATTATTATTATACTTAACAATATTATAAATCTTTGGCTAATAATAGGACAGAAAGATAAATACTGACAGGAAACGAGTTATTATTATTATTTTTTTTTGGGGGGCTAAGACGAGTGTTGTTTTTGGTGACCATTAACTTGTTTTACAGTATTAGCCAACAATAATAAGATAATTTTGCAGAAAAACACGATAATTGTTGGTTTGAAGCTCCAACTACTGTACATCACGGGTAGTTATTCCCATTCAACTGGCGATATAATAATTATTAACGGTACTAACTTCCAGTTATCACAGTTCACTAGGAGAAGGATTGAGCTGCACGATAAAAAAATAAACAACCAAGCTGAAAAAACTATAAAATTATGGTTGTTTGAACTTCGAAAAACTTTAAATGTTTTTCTCAGCTTTTTGAATTTGGCGCTTCACCCCTTCTGATGCGGAGCGCCTCAACTGATCAGCGAATAAACCTGGGCATATGAAGATGTATTATACACTACAATAATATTTATTAAATTGTGATAAATTTGCTACAATAATATTTACTAAGTGCTCAAGACAGATCCTGTAGTAAGCACCAACCCTCTTGAGTAGTGACAACAACAGTGCCTCAGTGAGTGCTGGCAACAGTGTTAGGTAGAGCAGTGTACCTCTCTGTAAACAAGAGGCTGGGACTATACTGCAGCACAGTAGCTCATCTGGGGTTGAGAGGTGGCGAGCTGTCCTCCTCTGCCACCTTCTCCCTCTCTACTTCTATGCATCCAAGAGTAGTTTTATACAGGATCTTAATACAATTCATAAACTATTCCTATAATTCATTCATCTTGATCTATTTCATAATATATTCTTATAATAATTGTTATCGCCGCTGGCTTCAGCTACAGTGCTGGCGTGTGATGCCATTAAATCTTTCGACCTGTGACCTCGCCAGATGTAGAAGTGTTTACAGACTACTCCTGGTTCTGCTGAGTGGACCGTCTTAAGCCCCATCCACACGATCGAGCACTGCCCGACGGGCACTCGCTTAATGCCCGTTGTTCGGGCAAACCAATGGAGTGGCCGATCCCGTGGTCGAACGAAATCACCAGATAAGGCCGTCTGCCTGGTGGTTTGACCGTTTCTTGCGAGAAGTCTATAGAAGGTGTTGGGGTCCATTCTCATGTAGTGAGTGAAGTCTTTCTCATGTTCACCTTGCAGTTCACGTAAAATCGTGGCATGACTTCCCTTAACTTTTCATTGAGATAACCATTCCTTGCACCATTCCCTTTTCTGTTTTTTCTTCTTTTTGCACACTGTAGCAATTATTATACACAGCGCTATAGTCTTTGATTTAACTGTCCTGCGACACACCATGGTGATCGTACCGCAGCAGCTACTGCCGACCACCTACTAGCTACCAGCGACAGAGTGTGACTGCTGCCAACCAGCACCTCCTTGTGTACGACGACACACAGGCTTTGCCCGGTAAACGGGCAAAGTCCGCCGGGCACTATTCGATCGTGTGGACGGGGCTTTAGACTGGTGGCGGTAGCTGCCCGCCCCTCCATGAGACAGATCGCCCTCTCTAGTGATGCTGTGAAGACCAGCCTTCTCCTGTCCGAGAATTTGTGCTGGGACGATTTACGCAATACTGTTTTCTTTTGGAACACCATACTGATCTGCATTGACCCGCACTTGTAAGTACAGCCTAAGTGATGACATACCCCTCGGTACTGAAATATTGTTGACTAATTATGCCTGCTCGTTTCTGCCTAACCTGGAGTAATAAGACAATGCAGAATGAAGCGAAGCTAAGATTAATAGAGTTATGAACTTTGTGTTATGTCAGTATGTTTAATAAATTGTAATTCAGATAAAATTGTGTGAGACAAACTAATTATGTATCAGATGTACCACCTTGTAATATTATGAACGCCTTCTCCTCTGCAGGTTTTGACCACATCAATAAATATTGAATGCGTCAAAAGACGGGTTTCAATCATTCCCTTCGACTTGCCCGTAACCTGAACGTCCTTAACTAAGGCGTTTACAATAACAATAGACTTTTGAACCTGTAGGTTATTTCAAATTCATTTTCAATTCAAATCGTTTAATTAATTAACAAATAAAAATAAACATATGAATTTGGCCAAAATTTGAATTATAATGACCCAAATTAATGAGGATACAGTGTACTTTATTAATAAATGTACAGCCAGTTAAAAAACAATCTTTACTGGGGAGGGGAAGGGAAGGAGGGGACGGGAAGGGCACGGGAAGGGATGGGAAGGGAGAGGAAGGGAAGGGAGGGGATGGGAAGGGAAGGGAGGGGAGGGGAAGGAGAGATGAATTTCAGAATGAATACTGTCACTCAGTTGTCTCAGTAGCGTCGTAAATATTTTCATCCGTTACGTCACATTTTCTCTCACAATTTTGTAAAGATTGATTTTAGAGCGACCAAGGTTGAGTCTACCATGACAATCAATAACAATAACAGTTTCAGAATTCTTCCTTAACAATATCTAGTTCTTCCAGGCACTCCATCTTTAAAGAAGATTGGTCAATTATCTCAGGCCCTGGTGAAGCTTCTGTCTCACAAATGACTGAGAGTGGATCATAATTAGTTTCCTTTTTCACTCCTTCAGAAACACACATCTCCACTGTTGGTTGGCAAGACAAGCTCAAGTCATGGTGCAAATCCTGGCAACTTTCACCTTCATAGTGATGAGAGTTGACCACTTGGTCAGTCTGGTAACATCTCTTTACATGTAATATTAAACTCTCTTTCTCTATAAAGTCTTTCATGCATCTTACACAGTGGAAAGGTTTTTCTGAGTGAACTTTCTTGTGTCTTACTAGGTTAGACCTTTTAGAAAAGCCTTGATGACATTCAGAACACTGAAAAGGTTTCTCTCCTGTATGAGTTTTCTTATGATTTTTGAGAAGAGATTTATATGAGAACCTTTTAATACACTGTGAACACTGAAAAGGTTTCTCTCCTGTATGAGTTTTCTTATGATTTCTGAGAGAATTTTTATGTGTGAACCTTTTAGGACATTGTGAACACTGATAAGGTTTCTCGCCTGTATGAAGTCTCGTATGTTCATCTAAATGACCTTGTCTTCTAAATCTTTTCAAACATTGTGAACACTGATAAGGTTTCTCTCCTGTATGAGTACTCATATGTCTCACTAACTCACTTTGTCTTTTAAATTCTTTAAAACATTCTGAACACTTCTTAGATTTCTGTTCTGTATGAACTTTCAGATGATTTATGAGAGAAGATTTAAATGAGAACCTTTTAAAACATTCTGAACACTCAAATGGCTTCTCTCCTGTATGACTTCTCATATGTGCTTCTAAGTGACTTCCTTGTGAAAAGCCTTTAAAACATTCTAAGCATTGAAATGGCTTTTCTACTGTATGAACTTTCACATGTCTCACTAAATCATGTTGTCTTTTAAAACCTTTAAAACATTCTGAACACTCAAATGGCTTCTCTCCTGTATGACTTCTACAAGCCAAGCACTTCCGTGAAAAAGCCTTTAAAACATTCCTACAATAATGGCTTTTTCTACTAAAAGGAACTTTCTATATTCTCACAAATTATGTTTTAAACTTTGAAATGATCATACCAAAACATTTTCCCGTATGATCTTCTGTGTTATTTATTTATTTATGCATACCTCTATATTCCTATCGTTCTCTGAGGACCCTTCACATAAAACTGTGTGTATTGTGTGTCTGGGAAGTTGCTTCCAGAAAGGACACTTAACTGGCAAACTGTTTCTCCTACGCGAACCGAGTAATGCCTGTTGCCAATTATGTATTTTATGAAACTGAAACATAAATCAATTCAGTGAACGTGATTTCTTACTTCACAACGATAATGATAAAGTATATGGCGGTCGTTGAGGGAGGTGCATGGAAGCGAACCAGCTTTATATCACACTGGCTACAATGTCTTCATACCTTTGAACCCAAAATGCAGTACAGGTAAGAATGAGTTACACATAACTAGGCGTTTCGTCACAATAAGCACTGTTTATGACTCACATGCTACTCTATAAAACATTCTACCAGGGAAGCAAAAGTAAAAACAGAGTCAAATGATTGACATATATGTATAGTTCTTCTATTTATGAAAACAATAATACTCAGGCTTGAGTATATTTACTGTACTATGATGGCTAAAACAATAATATTCTGTGCTCATATACTACTGTACTTGTGGGATGGTTGAAACAATAATGGTTTCATGTTTATATTTACAAATAGATGGTTGTAACCTTAACATGAATATACAAAAGCCCATGAGTGGGGGTGAATCTATACACAAGTTTTGAATTATTTTTAAAAACATATTTCCACAAGGAAGAATAATTTCTGTCTACTTGTAATCTTTTGGTTCAGTTGGTAATACTTTGTTCATGTCCACCGTTGCTTTACACCTGCACCTAAATATATGTTTTACAGTTTACTGCTTTCTTCTTCCTAATTGCCATTTGTTCTAGTCTATATCTGTGGGAAGGAAAGTCAAAACATATTAGTGAAATAATACTAGACTTCCTTTATGTAACTAGAGACATTCCTACATAAAATGCCCTCAAAACATATTGTACTGTGCTAAATAATACTTGTTAATATTATTCAACTACAGTTGTATCTCACTTTATGCTGTAGATGTATTCTTGTAAATGGTCGTAACACACATACAGCTCAACCTTAATTTCTCCTTGCTATGAAAATAAAGGAAAGAGGGATGTGGCGCTAACATCATTCTGTGGTATATACTCGAAGGTACTTTTCGCTAACGCCGTGGGTTCCGCCTCGAAAACCGCCACTCTAACTTGATAAAAGGTTAACGGAATAAATTTCTTTCCCATAAGAAATAGATAAAATATGGGAGTTATGTTCTCAGCCTCCTTGCCCCATAAAATACATTACATATACAGTACATAAATTCAATGGCATTTTTTATGAAAATAATATAAGTTAGGTTAGGTTGTTTACAAGGGGTTAGGGTTGAAATCAAGTGTTCAGATGTGTTGTTATGAATGTGATGTGATGTGTTATGGAACATTCACCTACAGCACAGCATCACTTCCAAAATAGGTATAGTGCCAACCTGTGGGACAATGAAAGGTCAGCAGCCCATGGTCTGTTTAATAAGCAAAGGTGACAAGGGAGGGGGGGTACAGAGATGTCCACACAGCTTCTTGAGGTTGAGTTGTAACTAACAGTTTAATTTCCGGCCGCCGTGGGTAGACCTAAACACTGTTGCTTAAATTCTGTATGACTCTAACACTTCTACTGCAGTGCAAACCTTATCCAAACCAGCAACATACACAAGTGATAAAGCCACTGAATACATACAAAATGATAGATCCATTATTACACAATACCAACATATGATTTGGTACAGGGGCAGTGCTCGCTAGGGGACAATATAATCCTGAAGGTGCCTGGGAGAGCACCTTGTCCGGGTGTGGGTCCCTCGTGGGTGCTACGGTACTTAGTGGGCTTAGCGCGCGGTGGGCATTGAGGTGAGGTGGGCGCTATTCTATCGCTATTATTCGGCCCTTCTTCCAACCAGACGTGAACAGGCATTATCTGGGGCTGGGACTCAAATTAACCACCCCACTCCTTTGTTCTGGGACTTATACCCGCTTGACCTGATACTCAGTGGCGGAGGTTGTGGGCGGTCAGGTCGAACTCCATTGTAGTGCGTTGCCGGAATGCGTTGGCGCCCTGCAGTGGTGTGTCTAAGAGTCCCCTGGACTTGTGTTGCCCCTCAATAGTCTTTAGCGACTTTCATTGTGGCTCAGCCCGCCGTTGGACCGCAGTAGACCGACATACCTTTAGCGCCACACACCAGTCTTCTTGAAGAACTTCTACATTTTGGCACTCAACAAGTTGGTCCCCCGAAATACACCCATTGCGAACCCCAGCAGGTTTGCACCGCTTGAAAAGCTCCTGAGGGTGACACCAGCCTGTCAAGACCATTTGGTAGGTGCCTCACCTCCAGCCATCCCCCATGAGCCTGTCTGCATGGTACGTAGTTACCAGAAGGAATTGTCCAAATTGGTTTCGAAATTTTTCAACACATTACTATCATGATATTAAACACAAAATGGAATGACAATGCATAGAGTCTTAGTAGAACCTGACCTAACATGTCTAAACCTGGCGGCTCTGTTAGGTCAGGTTCTACAGATTCTATGCAATATCGCAGGTTAATTTATGTGTTAAACAACTACCTAATATTGAGGTGATATACATCCGCAGAATATGAGGAATACTGAAGCTGCTTCACTATCATTTAGGACATTCTTTGAAAAGGAATTCAGTGGAGGCAAAACAACAAAAATGGCAATAAGGAGGAGAATTGTGAAGCCGGATAGAGTAAAATAAATAGATTGTCAGGTTCTATTCACTGTTGTTTCCATTTCAGTGTTTAATATCATGTTATTAAAGTATCACATGCGTGGTTAAAGTTAGTATACAGGAAAACCCAATCTACTCTAAAGTTATTTTCATTATTGTTTTGGCTTCACATTATTTATCAGTGAGTTCTTGATATGATAAATAATTTGTTAGCAATTTTTTCACTTCACAGATAATTACGCATCTAGGCGCACTAGTTTGTCTTGCAGGCGTACGAGGCCCTGCTAGCTAGCTGGAGGCTTTTCCTTGCCCCAGACAGTTTTGTTTTTCAGCATGTCAAGGAAAGTTGTCGCTGTCTTATATGGACGGCTATTTTAATTTAGGATAAAAGACAACCAGACCCTTCAAATGTTTAAAGATCACTTACTATTCCTTTTACATAGAGACTATCCACACTGCGAAGCCCTGTGCTTTCTCGACTGAAAGAAATTTGTTTCAGCTGCACAAGAAAATTATCAACAAGAAAAACAAGTGGCAATTCACTACAAGCACTACTGCCAAGTACTCTGTTCTGCTACACAGGGAGGTGTCAATGCCTCAGAAGATACTGGAAGGCATTGGTGTTGCCCAATATGTTAGACCCTGCTGCCATATGCGTGACCAAGCAAGTCCTGCGATGATGATTCAACATTCTTGCCTCATTTACACACAAGTGCAGTCTCAATTGTTTTCTTTCTTCCATCGACAATAAAACATACTTGCGCATTAGCAGGAAATTTGCTCAAAGTTGCTCTCTTCAGCATTGCTTCTTATACATATCTA